CAGACCTAGGGGCAGAGGCCCTGTGTGGTGAAGGCGCCTGGGCCTGCAGTGGGGCTGAGGCGCAGTGTGGCGACCTGGGGCTGGGGTAGGGCAGGGGCCCGGTGTGGGTCCGGGCAGGGGGAAGGTGGTGCCCAGGGCCGCCCCCTTGCTGGGAGAGGCGCTGGGACCTGTCACTTTCCCAGCCGCTTCCCTCCACCCGTGTCAGAGCTGTCCCCCGTGCGTGGCATATCCCCGTGTTGTCCCGTGCTGTGGTGTTGGCGAGGTCAGGGCAGCCAGGACCAGGACGTGCGTTTCAGCTGGCTTCCTCTGCCCCGTGCCCACCCCGGCCTCTGCGTGAGCTGAAGGTCGTGGAACCCTCTTGGAGTGGGCAGTTTGATTCACATCTTGATATTCCTTTCTTGTGTCAATCTCACCTCCGGCTGTCTCCACCTCTCCTGAGTGACGGGGTGCTCTCATGTTTCCTTCTCCGAATGAGTCAGGCTAAGATATAACTTATATTTAGCAAATCAGGGTAATTGTAGTGGGCGCAGAGAGATTGAATCCTTTGGCCTGCAGAGGAAATGGTTTGCATGTTTAGTTTAAAAAGCAGTCATCCCGCTGAAATGGATGTGCACAAAATGCTGCTTAACTGGGGAATACCGCCACATTTGAAATGTATCTTTTGTATGTGTTTACGAGCCCATGCTTAAATTAAATTCCTGTCGGCTTATTTCAAGAGCTTGTAGTACTTCCATGGGAGGCCGAGCTGTATTTTGCTGCTGACCGTGTTGATGGCAAAACTGGAATGAGACCGGTAGCGATTTTTCTAGCAGAGACCTTTGTGATGTTGCTGAGCTAGTTGGAATAGCAGTAATCACTGAAGAATGATGCTTATGTCGGACGGCACTGAAGAAGGAACAGGCCTCGGTGTAATCTGTGACAGGGACAGCACCACGAGCTGGCAAGTTTTGGTGGGCAGTCTCACTGGTTTGGTGATGATGGCTCAGTGAATAGAGTCCTTCCCATGGCCGTTGCTGCCTTTTTTTTTTTTTTTTCTCCTTGGGAACAGGTGAGAAATCACCTGTGCTGCCATGGAAACTGTCCTCATCCTCCCAAAACTGATGTGTTCTCACATGAGTCTGTGTCTATCAAGGGCTTCAAGACTTGCTCTGGCTCTTCAGCAGCTGTCATTTTACATTCTTCTGTTTCTCATCAGGAATTTGAAACTACATTGAAGCGGTGAATGAGGTGGGATAGGCTGTAGTAGTGACTGACGAGCTGCCAGGTAGGGCTAACCTGTCCACTCATGCTTTCCATCCCGAGTGCTTTGGTTTTTCTTGGCAGACAGCAAAAGAGGAGGAACGCTATTATGAATAGCAGAGCTGCTATTAAGGAATAGCCTGTGAAAGCAAAGCAGTGTGGTAGAGGATGGCAGTCCTAAAAGAAAATGCAGGCAGTGACCAAAGCTTTGAGTGGCTTCTTGCTGCCTGTGAGCATATGGGAGGCCGGTGTGATCCATAACGATGTGAAAACAGACAACTACTTTCTTGTTTTTGTCTGCCCTCACCTGTTCTAGTATGCAACAGTCTTGCTTCCGAAGACTTCACTTGAACTAAATGTAGCTCATCAGCTTGAGTCTAGCTCTTGAGCTCTTGAACTTGTACCTCACTATGTGGACATTTGTGACTGGTGGAGTATACAAGGGATTTTCTTTTTCTAAAAGTTTTCTTAACTGGGTATTTCTAAAGCCTGAAGAGACACTCTTTGTCTTTGCAGCCACCATGTCATCGGGTCAGGGATCCGTTTACTCTGAGTATGAGACTGACACCAGCCAGACATCAAAGCTGTTAAGAAAGTTTAAAGAGACACCATTTGTACCCATCGGTAAGTTTAAAGATGAAGAAACATGGTTACATGGTTACTCTTTCCCCTTCATGGGCAATCAATACGGTAAACATAGTCACTGCTCACCATTTTCGTGTGAACAGGAGATTACTTTGACATTACTTCCTCATGCAGGCTTTCTGTGTGGTGACAGTAGTACTCCTGCCCGGAAGGAGTTTTCTGCAAGAAACAGGGAAATTAATGAGGCCTGTTATCTTAATTAGAAACCCAGAACCTACAATTACAAAACCCAAAAACCCAAACACCACAAAAACAACAAAAACCAACAAACCCCAAAAGACTGTATAGGTGATCCTGTTAGGTGGTAAGGAGTGTGTTTTGCAGCTCACATTTCATCCTTCTCTGCTGTCATCCCTTAGTTTAAAAATGTATTTTCTTAGTAGGTTTTGTGGTACCTCAGCTTGAGGAGGTTGTTAAAGTTCTCAGCCTCTCTGCTGAGACCCCGAAAAAAGCCTCTGAGGGGAGAGAGGATCAGTCATGTTCATCCTGAGAACTTCCCTCTGATCAGGAACTGCCTCTGACACAAGACACGTTTCGATTTCCAGCCACCTTAAATGGAGAGCAGTCGGGTCACTTGGGGTGAACTGTTCCAAGCGTTTGCCAACAGACAGCCGTCACTGGTTTCTCTGGTCACAGGACTTTGCTCTCCAGCTCGCTAGAGTGTACTACGAGCTCCACGAGTTCGGGTTCTCCCAAGCAGATTAACAGAACTGTCAGAGCTAGTTTGAAGGCCCTAAAACTCTTTATTGGTATTTAATGAGGCTACCACGTGGGTCATGCACCAATGAAGTAAGGGTTTATAGCTTCACAAGTGGAAGTGGTAATACTCCTGTTCAGGGAGCCAAGCTTCTGGGCTCTCAGCAGTAAAATATACACAACACTTAAAACTTGGCACCCTCCTTTGAACTATGTAAGTAATCATCCTCAATATGGAATACAGTGGGTAAAATGGGGAAATTTTGTGCGTTGACACTCTGGATTCTGTGGGTGCATCAGTGTACCCAGGTTGGAGTTGGCACAGCTGGGGGCTGTGTTTGGTCCGTTGAAAGACTGAAAGGGACCTTGCTGAACCTCTCCCCCCACAGCACAGGACGAGTGACATATGACTTGTCCTGTCGCAGTGAAAGCCGGGCAAACGTGACAATACCCAAAATAGCAACCTCAGCAGGCCAGTGGGTACGTCAGGGTGCATCCACACGCCGAGTGTCCCAGCCGCAGCCAAGCGATGTTCTTGGGTGGGACCTTACATCCAGGAAAGAGGGTGCGAGTAGCAGATGTGCTTTCTGAAAAATACCCCAAAAAACTGACACCTTGAGTTACTGCTCTGGCATTTTAACACTAGTGGAAAGCTCTTGCTCTTATCTGCACTGACTTTTGGATTGAATGAGATGGAACTGGAGTGAAAACAGTAGACAGGTCAGGACTTGCCATCTACAGGAAAACAGAGTGATTACATCAAAACCTTGACATATTTTGTTTAGGTGGGTCACTTCACACATCTCGATGACCTGGATCTTGACTCACAAGGATGCTTTCCTTGCCTTGCAGGGATGGCTGGCTTCGCCGTGGTGGTTGGCTATGGGCTGTACAAACTGAAGCACAGAGGCGACATGAAAATGTCACTTCACCTGATTCACATGCGTGTGGCAGCCCAGGGCTTCGTCGTGGGAGCGATAACGTGTGGTACGTACTGAACAAAAGGCTGTCCTCAGCACTGGCAAACCACGGAGAACCTCTCGCGTCTCTTCTCCCTGTGGGTAGTACAGTGTGTGTGAAATAGCCTTAGGCTGGAAGGGTCAAGGCCATTATATTTCAGGATGTTTATGCTCTTTACTGGTATTCTATCAGCATTTCTAGAGTAATGTGATATTTAAGTATATGTATTTAATATTAAACTGCACTAACTTTGAGAGTAGAAGTTCTGACTACTTTTAGATGTAGAAGAACCTCGTTGGGTTGTGGCAACGAGGGTGTTGGCCTCTTCTCCCAAGTAACTAGCGATAGGACAAGAGGAAATGGCCTCAAGTTGTGCCAGGGGAGGTTTAGATTGGATATTAGGAAAAATTTCTTCACTGAGAGGGTGGTCAGGCATTGGAACAGGCTGCCCAGGGAGGTGGTGGAGTCGCCATCTCTGGAAGTGTTCAAGAAACGTGTGGATGTGGCGCTTCAGGACATGGTCTAGGGGACATGGTGGCGCTGGATTAATGGTTGGACTTGATGACCTTGAAGGTCCTTTCCAACCTAGTGTTTCTGTGAATCTTTCTGTGAATCTATGTGGGAAGTATGTGAGGTTCTGCAGATGTTGAAGTGAGAGGCAAAGAAAAAACCCAACTGGCTGACATTAATATTTTCCCTTGTAAATATGTTGCTGTTTCTGAATTTAATGCATTGGAAAATCAGCTTGTGTAGACTGTCGTACTATATTTTTTTATATATGTATTTTTTCAGGACTGGAATTGTGTCCCTGAACATACAGAGTGCTTTGTACACCCCAGGTCTCATCGAAGTATTGCAGCTGTGCATGTGTGTAAATGTATATCCCATGAAACACTGTCTATACTGTATTCCCAGAAGGTACAACAGGAAAGCTTGACTCGAGCTGCAAAGCAAACTAGAATTGGCTTGGGATCTGCATTTTCATATACAGTACATTTTCATGTCCACTGTCTCTGTATATGAAGAGTTTTGTAGTGTTCATCACTGCTATTAAAAAAAAAATACAGAGAGCAGAAGAGGAAGGGAAACATTATTTCTATAGCTGAGAATATCTCTTACTGCTAAGATCTTGAAACCCATTGTTTCCTATTTAACCCAGCTTTCTAACTGTGCTTGTATTTCTGTCTTGTAGGTGTGCTGTATTCAATGTTTCAGGAGTACGTGGTGAAGCCCAAGGAGTAACGGAAAGATAACTGAAATCTCTCTCCCGGTGGTGGCCTGTGTACTGCAGCTACAAACCTCATACTGAGGGGTTCTTGAGGAAAAACATAATACACTGTGTTAGAGAATTGCCCTATATCTATTTTGTGTATGGTACACTGTCTTGAAGCTGGCGGTCTAAATGATTGTGCATGGGGGAGCAAGTATCAGGGTCTAGTTCTTTCTGATTGACACTACTATATCCCAGTTTTTAGGGGATATAGTAGAGTACAATCCCTTTATCTTCCCCTCAGCTGTCAATTCAGTGCTAAAATTGGTGACTCCTTTTTGCTGCTCTTGCCCAAAACCACAAAGTCTGGACTAGCTTCTGTGAGGCCTCAGGCAGAACGTGGAGGCCACGTCTGTAAGATAGTGTCGTGAATGCTTTGCTGTCATTTTCTATCCTGTATATTTGTTAGCCTCCAGCTTTGTAATTTAGAAGCTTCCAGTAGCACTAAATGAAATACTGAGATATAAACATCTATTATTTTTTTATTTAAGGCATGAGGTAAGTATTTGGTATGTTGCAGCTATTTAAATGTTATATTTATTCATTGTTAATGAAGACGCAGGCTCCCTATTTTTATTATAGATTTTTCAGACTCTTGGATTATTATATTTTGTAACTTTATTTACAGTGCTCTTCTGAATAACGTTTAAATGTAACATTTAAAACACATATTGTGAAAACTAAACCTTGATTTTGTGTTCTAATGCTTTTAGTTCAAGTATGTGATCTATCTCTGATTTCTGCACTATCATTCCCTATAGAATTTTGAAAATATTTAAATCTGAAAAGCCCCCATCATCCTCGATGTGTTAAAACCCTTCTCTGTAAATTGCCACTGTTATTTTACACTCGAACCCCTTGTATCTCCAACAGCAGTCACAAAAATAAATGTGGTGATAAAGCCGATTTGTAAAAACCTCATTTTCTCCTATTAGGTTACATTCCACATTGACAGTATGATGTCTCTTTGTAATAAATACTGCAAGGTACATCCCCCACCTCTCTCTGTGATGTTGTACAGAGCAGTGGGAGATGAAAGCCAAATAAATGTGAGCACTGGAGGCAACAGGTGTTTGGCTATGGATTTGTGGGGGCGGGCGGCCTTCCCCCGTGCTTCCAAGCCTCCTGCGGAGGGATGGGATATAAAAAATCACCTGAGAGGGTGAAATGCTACTGGAAAGGGCATTCCCAGCCGGTATAATCCCGCTGCCCTTGACTGCCTGCTCTCACCGGCGTGGAGCGGGAGAGGGCGTAAGGAGACGTCCCTCCACCGCGCAGAGGCCTTTTCCCGTCACTTCCTCCTCCCCAGCGCGGCGCGGGAAAAGGAGCAGCTCCCTTCCCGTCAC